GCTCCTTTGACTGGTGGATCATCAGGAACAGCACATGTGTCTCCTGAAGTGATCACTACACAAATAGAACAGTCCTTTTTTCCAGCACTTTTCCAGGTCTCAGGCTTTGCTAATGCTTGGTGCTTTCATTAGTTCAACTTCCTTTCTTCAAGTTTCTTTAAAATCAGCATTTTTCCCTGCTCTTCAACACCAAACAAAAAGGCACTCCTAAAACTACTTCCTCTGAGGTATTTCACTAACCCACTGGCTTTTATCAAATTCTGCAGTTCATTTCCTACCAGCTTTGTCCTTATTAGATGCATTTTTCTTCTGCTACCCATCATTTTTGCCCCATTTGCAGGTATTTTGCTTTTCTAATACCTTTTCTATCATTTGCTGTATTTTTGCTCTTCAGCATCTGTAGCACCACCCTCCTGCAAGTCCCTGTCTTCCTTACAGCTAAAGGAAAGCATCCAGCAGACCACAAGGTGCAAGTCACAAACCAGATCTACCCAAAGAGTATTTCCTTAGTGTTTGATTCTAGCAGCCTCCATGGACCAACACATGTAGTGAGGGGGAAACACAGAGAGAACCAGTTACATGAGACCCATTTCTCTTTCTCTTTGCTATTTGCAGATTGCCCAGAAAAGCAACAACTGTGTTGTATGTGACCTATCCCGAACTCCACTCCCTTCCCAGCTGTGTAGTATGCTCTAAGCTGCACAGTCCCCTTAGGCAGCTTCCACTGATCTTGAGGTCCTGGAGTTCCCTGGAATAGACCAAATCCCGTAAACGAAGGGCTTGGGAGGCTTCGAGTTCTCAAACCATTCCCTTCTCTCTATTCCCAGTCCTGATAGTTACCCTAACGCCACCCCCATTAAAACTTAGTTTCAGTGACACACATTAGCAAAGAGTAATAAATCAGGGAATGATACTCTCACTCTGCTTCTCAAATTCACAAGGTCTTCCAAGTAACGAAATTGCAATAGTCCCTACTCTTCCCTGAAAAAAATCTCTTAAGTTGTAAATTGAGTATACAGTTTACTAGCAGAGAATCCTCTTGGCCTTACATGAAAGCAATGATGATTCAGAATTCAGCCGAGGCATGAGCAGAAATTATGAAAGTAGCTTTTCCCCATCCTCATATTTTCTCCACCCAGTAGTCACCAGGTGTAACAGATTGGAGTAACTATGGATGGCTTTTACAGAATAAGCAGGTGTTGTCTAGCTTCTCCGTTTGCAAAAGACTTAATCATATTACATAAAGAAAGGTACAGATGAGGAAAAGCTGTTATGTTGTAGTAGGCTGTCAAGCAAAAGCTTGACAACATGTAATAGTGTTATAGTAGTAAGAAGCTAGTAGTTAGTGTATATTGAAAGAAATCTAATAATGTTTGAGCTGAAAATAACAAAGATAATAGTAGTCAAATCTGGAAAACCCAGATTCATCCACGACATGTGTTACACCATTCCATAATGTGAAGACTGGAGTGCTTGCTGCTGGCCATAGAGCTAACTAGTACTAGGCAATCGCTCTTTGCCAGTGAGCAAGCATAAGCAGCTTGTAATTAGATCTGGTTAAAGATACTCAAGTTCTAGAAATGAATATATTATAATGTGGTTAGCTACTGACTTCTCACAAAGCGCACCTGCACTGTTTATAAACTTGATGGAAGCAATCTCTTTTACAATAAAAACTGTTTCTGCATCTCAGTCTCAGACCAGTAGTGAAGACAAATCCAGTTTAAAAAAGTTCTTCCTATGACATGCACTGATTCATGAACAGACACTGATATTTCTGATAGTGAAGAGTATTGTCCTTATGAGTCACTGCACATGATGCTGCTGAAAATGTGACAAATGCTACCATCTGCTGCTCAGCACAGCACATTAAGGGCACAAGAAAAACAAGTGAAAGTTCAGTTCTGGGGTAGGTTGAATTCTGTTTTGGAGATATTTTGCTGCATTTGAGATGCTTCAAGCAGTATTTTTCTTACCAGTTTTCGCAACAATAAGGGACCAACACCTGTAATGGCTGTTCAGCATAGAAATGCCCAAGTGCTTTTGAAAATAATCAGTATTACCCTACTGATAAAAGAGGTTAGGTTTCCTGAGCTTGTAAATCCATTTCTACCCTGTGAGGATCTGCATTGACGAACAGGATAGCAGTGTACACACATGCAGAGCGCACGCATAGAGGACAGGACCAGTATAGAAAGAATTTCTGAGGTGTCTGACAGTGCTTGTATTTCAAGTCCACCCATTCCCACAGAGGGCTACAAATTCACACTTCTCTGGATGTGCACTGGCCCTGTAAGGCAACAAACCAGGTTACCCTTAGCTACACGAATACGGCTTAGCTACACTAAAACTCCAGGAGGAGTTTTGGGGGGAAGCCTGCTGCCTCCATACATAGGGAGCCCAGGTGAGCTTTCCTAGAAGGTTAGTTTTCAAGAAGCCCATGTAAAACCTGGCCTAAGTTTCTTTAGAGTAATGCCTATGTTCTGTCAAGCAAGGATTCAAGTTTGTTCCAAATTATCTACTTCTCTGTTTCCAAGTAACAAATGATTTTTCATTTAAACATCTGGATCTTATTTAGAAATCCTCAGCCACAAACTTCTATGCTTTAAAATTAATAACCCTGTGCAAACTGTGGAAGGCAATAGGCATGACAGGTCATGCTCAGAACACTACTCTCCCAGCAATGACTGTGTAATGCTAACTTCTCCTGAAAGAATAGACTTTAAATTTCAAGGAGGGCAAAAGAATAAAACCAATGGTTTCTCAAAGGACTTAGAAATATTTCATTTTGTGAATCCCAAGACACAAGGAATAAATTGCTCTTCTTGCATCTCATGAAACATTTTATCATGAAACATGAGTGGAGCAAATTTACTTTTGTGTTGCTCTTACATTCCAAGTCAAAATTCTGTTTATTTGCATTTCAGAAAAATACTCAAGTTGGATACCTAAGTTACCAGACCATTTTACAGGAACTCTGTAGCACAAGTGAGAACTGAACAAAGGTGAGAGATTGCTAGCTGCTCATTCATCCTTCTTTTAAGTCACCTTGGGCAGCTAAATTATTGTTATTATTGTTATCAACAAAAAAAAAATCTTGGTTTGATTCAGGTCTCCATAAATTCTTATCTACTCATCAAAAATTAACCAAAGATCTGCTCTGCCTCTGAAAGTTTGCATTTTCTTTTGCTATTACTAAAATATTTTAGACAATAATACAGCTACACTTTACTAAGCTTTCCCAGTGCTTTCAGTATTCTAAATATTCTGATTTAATTAAAACTGTGACAGGAGGGGGAAGAATAGAACCTGAGGCAACTCAACTATTTCACAGTGGCTGTGAACTGATCGTTAAATACCAGCTGGGTACTAGCAACCATCTCTACATAAATATTGCCTTTTTTCTATTTCCTCTCATTTAACAGCCATACTCACTAAGTTCAACAATTTTGCGCTGCACAACAAGGTGCTGTTATGGAAAGTAAAATACTCTAATTTAGTAGTCTGTGTTAGAGACCCATCATCAGCTAGAGTATCACCAAGATTCTTCTGTGTTTTAAAATATACATCATCATCATTATTCTTGATGTTTTCATATGTTTCATGGTATCTGGGAGGATCAATAAATGTAAACATTTTTAAGTAACTTGAAATAATCTTCATCTTAACACTTGCAATATTTTGTTCACATATTCCCAACTGGTGTGTCCTAGCATTGAAACAATCATTTAAGAGATTAAGAAATCTAAATAGCTTCACATTTTTACAATAAAATGAAATAACTGTGTAAAAACTTAAAAGACTGTGTAAAAAGGTCTGAAGAGTTCTATTTTTAATTACATTTCAAAATAGTGTTATATAGAACATTTTTTTCTATTTATAATCAGTACATTTATTAAAAACTTCAGGGAACAAATAAGCAGACTAGTCTGAGTTGCTTTAGGGAACGGTCATCAACAACTTGACCTTGTGTTTGAAAACAAAGAGGAGAAAAGAGGTAAAGAAAAATATTTTAAGAAAGAAACTGCAAGATTCCTTTTCATCTTGCAAATAAGCAGAAATGAAAAAAGGTAAGTTTCAATCGCACACTCTACAGCCCTATTTAATGACTGAAACAAGCCACAGCACAGTCTTACTTCCTTAGAAGAAAACAAGCTATGCACAGTCAAGGAGTTAGGAGAATGCAAAGTGGAACATTCTTTGCTTAAAACTTTGCTTAAAACAATAAAGACTTCATTATTTACAGACTGCCACGTATTCTCCTGCACAAAAGTCTTTCCTCTCCCCAGTTAGCCTGCCATTTCTTTTCAAGTCTTCCAGTACCTGCTACCTTAGTGATCTTGAGGTTGGATTTCAGTATCTTGCTAAATAAGTTAGCTATATGATTTGAAAATCTTGCAGCAATTTAGAAAGAGGAAATGTATATAGTGATAACACCTTCGGAACAAAATTTGAAAATAAGTGGCTCAAGATATTTGCTAAGGTAGCCTTCACTCACTTACAAAAATAAAATGAGCAATGATAAATATCTTGCCGCAATAGTCTGTTTGAATGCATAAAGCTTTTGTTGAAGCTACATGAAGTCTAATCCATAACATATGTTTTCTCATCAACACAGTAATATTTTTCAGACTCCAGAGCTAACAGACATTCAACACTTGCATAAAACATGGAGAACATCAAATAGGTCACTTAAAATTCAGCAGTAAATATACTGAAAAAGCACATTCAAATCTCTTGCCAGCATGTAAGAAATACCTAATTTTTGTCATTCACTAGTCTGAATATTCTACAGGGAAGAGTCATGTGTTACCACAATTCACTTAGCACTTTCTAATAAAATATATATAGATACATATATTTGAAAAGGCTACAAGATGTATCAGAATCAAGAAGCAGAAAAGTAATTCACAGCCAACAATGTTTGATTTAAAATTTTTCTATTGTCCATATTCTGACTGCTCCTCAGCATATCTTAACATGTAATATATTACCCTGCTTTCAAGTAAGTAGTTTGCTGTGCCATACAAATCACGTAAGAACAGAACTAATTTTGGTCTTCAATTATGCATGAGATATCTAAAATCAGATTGGCTGTCTCCACAGCTACTTGTAAGCCACTACATTTTGCAGCAAAACAGTCCAGTGTAAGAAAGTCAGCAACTTTTACTGGAGGCTCTTTGGGGCAGCTCTGCAGAACAGGAGAGCTAAACTGGCTTTGCAAAACCCTCCAATTGAGATTCTGAGTGTTATCGTTAATCCCACAACCACATTTTGAAACTAAATCTGACCAGTTAGAAACAAAGGAGAAACCTGACGGAACAAGCCAACAGTGTCCATAAACCATGTCTGTAAAAATGTCTCCATCATCATGATTTAGAGAGCAAGCTACAGATTCCAGTGAGCGGCAAAAGGCATCAGCAACCAATTGGAATTGTGTCCGAGAACAATCTATAGCTTTAAAACTGCTAGCTGGCAGATCGTGACTCTAAAAACAGAAAAAAAAAAATCAACAGAAAATTAGAAAACTCTTTTACAGAAATGGGTAATTTTATCAAACACATAGTAATGTTGGCATTTTTATACAGATGGTTCACAGCAGTCAAATAATAATAATAAAAAAAAATGTTAATGTGATGGATTTTCTGAAGAGTAAAGACTTCTAGACAAGCCAAAGTTGAGTTCTGTACGATTAGTACAATACAAAAATTCTACATACTTTTATACTAAGTTAAATACACACGCACAAAAAAAATCAAGCCTTCCTGTTATTAATGGATCTCTATAGTGACATTGAGTACAAATAAACAGGAGAGAAATCCTGAAATGGACATTAGCACTGTATATTTCAAGATTTTTTTTATATTAACTGTTAGAGAAGAATATTTATTAATTTAATATACTGAAAACAATTGTTTTATCTGTTAGAGTAATTCTACATGAACTAAATTCTTGTTTCCTCTTAAATGATCTTACAGTGCCTTACATACCTTGTGTCTTATATACGAAGCCAAGTGAGTTTCTGAACAGCCACCACCCAACAGTGCCAAAGGTTCCTTGATTGTCAGCTGTAACACATGCTCTGCAGTTTCATAAGCACGCTGAAAACCACAGAAATTCACCATTTCACACACCATAATTGGTTTTCACAAAAAAAAACACTCAAAATTTTGAGTAAATTTTGAAATACTCTTTGTAAAATGGAATTAAATGTGTATAGACATGCTGAGGGATTTCCAAAACATTTACTTAATGAGAAATTGTATTTATTTGTCCATACTTTGCATTGAAAAATATAAATTAAATAACTGTATCTGAATCTTTTTTGCAAAAAGAATTTTTTCATAAAATTCAAACAGTAACAACATCACCTTTACAGCAACTATTCAACACAGAGCTATGATGGACTACAGTTCCAGGTGCTGCTGCAGAGCTTGCACTGGGCAATTTTTCCCTTGTTCTCTCACAGATCAAGTAATGATAATGAAAATCGTTCCACAGCACTGGCCTCAAAAACAGGTGAAAAAAAAATCTGTCTCTAAGTGACTTCCATGATTAAAACAGAAGCATTACATAAGCAAGAGAACTTCAAAGTTCTTGTAATTCCAGGAAGAGGCAGATTTTGAATTCCTTTTTTGAAGTTATGTACTTAAACTCTAATCAAGTTCCATTAATGTACTAAAAACCTCCTATCTGAGCTCATTTATACTGCTCATTACCCTCTTTCATTATTTTCCACTGAAAGTACGTTTTTAATGAAATATTTCAGGAAAATTTGCCTACCTTCAATTCATCCCATGTGGTTTCATTTCTGTTGCAGAGCATCAAACTGCAGATAAGTGTGTCATTAGGAATTAGATGCACAAAATGTTTTGGAGCAAAACTCACAGTACACACATCCTTCAAATTGCCATAGCAACTGGGAGAGAAAGAATGTATGGAAGCTATAGGCACTGAACCTGTTCAATTAAAAAAAATAAAGAGCCATACATATTACTATCACTAGCTGTCTGTTGCATTTCACAAAGCATAAACTTATTTTTTCCTCATGATTTTTTTTATATAGTAAGTACTCTTTAAGGTGTATTCACACAACACTTCCATCTACAGAGAAAATCTCTAGAAAGTGTTGGGGTTTTTTTTTTCAAAGTGTAAAATTTAGCAATAATTCATGATAAAAGTAACTTCATTATTCTGATCAGATGGAGCTCAAAAATAATCTACATCTGCCATCCATTTCTATCACTCCTGCAGCAGCAAGCAGTACTCATGTCATCATTACAGCATAAAAAAAAATTCTTTTTTTTTTTTTTTATTTTTCAAAATAAAAGAGAATGGCAACTCTTGCTCTGAGGCCCAGGTAAGATAAGAACAAAAAAATTCTTACCCTGCAACCACACTCACTATTCCACTCACTACATATTTTGTAGGGTATTATTATGAGTAAAACACTAGAAATACTTATCATTTAAAACTCACATCTTACCTGTCATTTTACTCAGGGGCTCCATCATAGGTAGTCCAACTCTGTCTACAGCCACAATATGATTCTCTTTCAGATACTGTTTTAAGGATGGATGGATAACTTTCTGGCACGCTACAAGGCCAATCCCATCATTAACCAGCTGCTTTCCTACATTAAATAACTGATCCAGTTCTGACATTTCTAGACAAATTCCATGATGGACTGTTATGCTTCCTTCATCAAGGTTGGAAAGGTCTCCTGACATAGACACACAAAAAAGTGCTACCTTGATCATGTCTGAAGAAGTTCTTTTGATAGACAGTGGTTTCGGAAATTGATTTTCTGTTGTTTCCAGCAATAGTCCAGGAAAAACTGTAGAATCCACAACTCTTCTACCTTTCATGGGCACTATTACACACTTTCCTAAAACAGCACTCATTTCAACATGACATGGAACAGTAAGCAAAAAAGCCTTTACAGTCAGTCTAGTGAGATGGTCAACCTCCATTTTTCTAAGCATGCAAGCAGGTTTGCTTGTTAATACGCTACGTACCAAACAAAAGAGAGTCTCGAGATTGCTAAAATCTACAGGTACTCGACAAGCACAGGCCTCAGACTGGAGGTAGTCAGTACATAAGCTCAAAAGATACTTGCTTATTTTAATAACAGTACAAGGCAAAATGTTGGTCCTTTTAAAGTTTTCAATCAAGCTACAGCAAAGAATGGCAGTAAATAAGCCACAGTCACTGAAGCGGGATACATGATTCTGTACAGAGGCTGTCAAAACCCTTAACACAGGATGACTGACAGAAATACAACGGAGCACAGCTGAAGATTGTGAGGTTGTACAAACGTAGCCTCCCATGCCATTGTGGAGCTGTTTGAGCCTACCAGCAGGGCCATAGCAAGATTTCAAAACACCACTTAGCACAGACAGTGACCGATGAACTAAATCTTCAGATAGAGGTTCACTAATATATAATGAAGGCTTTTTAGCTTCAACACGAGACATTTTCAAAACAAGACTGTACTGTGCAATGAAACATCAGACTTCATTTTCACCCAAATCTCAAATAGTACACTTAAAATGGTACATTTTTATTCTTTACAGGCAAAGATTATTATTTTAAATGTAATACAGTATAATTACATTCATTTATGTATTCACAAGAAGTCTTTTAAAATCCAGCTTAAATACTACTGTGAGACAAATATGCAATAATAACAGAAAACTATTTCATTCATGACGACCTTTTTTAATTTCCGAATGTGATTGGGCTGATTTTTTTGCAACTAAGTTTACAAGCATGCTACCAATATGGACACCTATAACAGACAGTCCTGCTACAAGCAGAAAGTTCTTCCTATTCCATCTAGTCTTCATCTTTGTCTTTTCACGGCACTCACAGACGAGAAGCTTCAGAGTTAGTTATATACCTAAAATTAACATAACATTAAGATATTAGTGCAATCTTGCAACAATATTGTATAGTGTGAACTGTTATTCTAATTTTTCAGGAAAAAAAACACTCGTGTAGCTAGCAAATTGCAAGCTACAATGCTATTTAATTGAGAAAACCTACTAATACTTTATGTAATACAAGCAGCTGGCACACATGTATTTCCATCAATTAATATCTTTAATTATGGCTTCCTGTTTGTATACTGTCTTGCCTGTAGGTGTGTAAACAGCAGACCACTATAAACTGCAATGAATTGCATGAAAATGTAAGGCTATAGTGCTGCTAAACTCTTATACTGTAGAACAAAAAAACTGAAATACAAATCAGTGTTTCTCAGGGAACAACTTTAGAAACAAAACTTCTTCACGTTCAAACACCTTTAAAGACTCTTTACTCTTGAAAGGAGGTTTTTTTACTTGAAAGCTTCTGCATATTTCAGCTCTCTAAAAAACTTCTGAATTTAATTTTATTAAATTAAGAAGTACTGTCTTTACCTATGTTGTAACCATCTGTCCTTTGGTATTCAGTAATTTTTCACTGCTGAGATCTTGTTTCATATGAGTGCCAAGGGTTTGAACTTGTTAAAACAATGGCTTAAAAAAATACTATCTGCTTTATTACAGTACCAACTAAAGTGTCATTACATTCCTGTAACAGTTCTAAGATCCAGCATTTCAGGATGAAAGCCAAGTGATGACTTCTTAAAAATAAAAAATGTCAACAAACCTAACACCACTGACACCTTGCATATTGGAAACACCAAGAAATAAATCTAACACTAAACATCATAATTATTTGGGTAGTTATTTGTGAAACACCAAATTGGACTTGTAGTATGATGATATAACATTTTAGCACATTTTAAGGCATGAAGTGCACCATGAGCAAGTTGCATGCTAGGATTTGGTAAAATTATATTTTGGCCACTGCTTGCAACAGTAAAGGAAATCTTTATTGTACAACAGCAAATGTCTTTGATGGTTTATGTTATGCACATTACATCCTGGATATGTATGTAAAATGTCACTTAATCAGTACATTTAAGGAGATCTTGGGTATTTTTAACCCTTAAGGGTTAAACATAAATATTGAATAAACCAAATAGAAATCTTTAGGGACAAGTGCTGGTGCTTAAGAATTTCAGAATTACGGTGAGTTTTTTTTCTGCCCTCCCCACTCCCCTTTTTTCCCCTCCCTAACTTAATGATCCCCTACTGAAGGGGAAGGGCTACACTTAAAACAACAACAGCAACAGAAAATAGCCCAACTGTTTGAATCCCCATGGTAATGCACCCTTCAGAAGAGGTAAAAGCTGGCAGCATGTACTGGTGCTTATAGTCCAAGGTCACTTGTAACTGTTCCCAGAAACAAGCAAACAAAAACCCTTTCAACTTTGTACTGAAGATCCTTAAACAAAACTACTTTTTAAACTCCTGTGCAGTCACTACTGTATTTAAGACTCTGTACGACATAACATGTAACAAGTCTTGCCTTTTCTTAAGTAGCAATGGCTATCACTGTTGCAACAACACAGACTATATTACTACAAGTAGTCTCAGCTATTTCTATGCTCTTCTGGTCAGCCACACTGCTCTTTCAGGTCTAAGTCAGTTACAAGCATCTGACTGTTCACACATTTTGTATGCTCTTAAGCAACTTCAAGCTACATAGTAACATAACTTAATTTATCCCATCTCAAGATTTAGCAATGTTTTTTGAGAAGGCAGATGATATATTTTGGGGGTCTATATAGCCACAGTGTTAAGTTTCAAAAAAAAAAAAAAAAAAAAAAAAGAAGTGTCTGGAAGATTAAGATCAATGCAGCAAGATCTCCTCTGCCAGGAGATTCCAACTTAACGAACTCTATCTACTGTCTCAAAGACACAAATACAGCTAAGTAAAACTTACCTATCACACATAGCACTACTGCTACTTTTCTTTATTTTTGTGTTCATTTCGCATCACGTATGACACAATCCCAGGTTCTGGAACAAAGTTTTCCTCTGTCTTCACTTGGAAAATAGGGCTGGACTTGAGGTGAAACCACCCCCAGTGCACCAGCCCAAGGCCAGTGCCCATAACAATCAGAACCTTGTAGTCCTTCCAGAAGGTTTTAAGACCCATTGTAAATGGGCATCTACCTAGACAAAGATAATTAATTATGTAAAGTATGTCCTAAAAATCCTTTCATCCTCTATAATAGCACAGAGCAGTTAAACTTGTGTTAGTTAACTACTGTGCAGCAAGTGCACAGTAAATAAAACACGACAGAATACAGCCTTACTTTGTGAATTTAAAAGGGAGCTTAAAATACGTACATATATATATATATATATACACACACCTTGAAGTATTAATTGCTTTATTTGAGGAACAGTCATTCCCTTTATCTTACCTTATCCTTGCTTTTCAGAGTTACTACAAGAACACTTCAAAGGAATAAAATTGCCAAATTAAAAATAAAAAAAAAGGAATTTGCAAGTTCTTCCTTTGCATAGGTTTTTTTGTTAAGAAGCACCTAGTGGGAAAGGGCGTGTGGAGGATGGGGGTTGGGATGGGGGTGTAGAAGTGTATGGCTCAGATTTTGTATTCAAAAAGCTACTTCCTTTAGCGGTTACAAGGGCACAAGCCGCGGAGCGGATGTTCTCAGTCGCTCTGAATCCATCCCCGTCTTCTCGGGGGCTCCCGGATCGGCCAGCACCTCGCTACCGGGATCACATCGCCCGGCGTCTTTCCGTGCCGCAGCAGAAACGGGTTCGGCAAACACGCTCGAGCGGTACATGCGAGGGCGCGGAAAAGGGACCCTGCACGGGGCCGGGCGGGCCGCAGGTCACCGGCTTGGGCGGGGGACCCCTCACCCCAATCCGCCCCAAGGGCGGCCCTAGCACGAAGGGGCGGCTCGGGGCTCCCCCGCCGCCCTCCTAGCGCTCACCTCGGGGCTGCGGGCGAGGAGAGCACGCAGCGCGCCCCGCAACAGAACAGCCACCACCTCAGCGGGCCGAACTCTTCAGCCAACGGCCGTGCTGCAACCGACGCGTTTAAACCCCAACGGCTGCGAGGCCTCCTCACACCATCCTCTCCCCTGGAATGGGGGTGGATGAGGCCAAAGGCGGTGCGAGCGTCTCTGTCTCGCCATTGGTCCATACGGCTCACGTGACCACCAAGGGCCTTTGCCCTTCGTCTGGAGAAAGCGGCGCCGCCGTCTCCGAGTAATGGTTTTGCTGGCGGCCATTTTGCGTTCGGGCAAAAGTTGGGTAGGCAGCGGCTACAGCAGGCGGCCATTTTGAATAGGGGAGAAGAAGCTGGTGCGCGGTAGCCATCTTGGTTGAGGGCAGAGGAGCCGTTAGGAGCGTTGGCGGCGTGAGTATGGCGTGAGGCTGCCCGTTTGTTCCCTCCCGGGGTGGAGGGGTCGCCAGGGCTGCCTCTGGGCTCCCTTCTCGGTGTTTCCTTGCTTTGTAGCTCACCGTGCGGTCACTCTGCACCGCTTACTCGTTCCTCTGCCTGCAGATAGACAGTGTGCCCTAACCGAAGTCCTTCAAAATCCCAGTCCTCTCCAGCCCTTTAATTGCTCGTTTCACGTTTGCTCTTACTTGCACTTTTCTTTACTCAGTCTCCTGTCCTTCTACTGCTGGACCTGCTGCCAGGAATATCCTGTGTTGTATTCTTCTGTTTAAGGTGTTGCTTATATTTGATTGTTTTTGTTATCCTGCAGTGTTTTGTTGTGAAAACGTGACTCTGAGGCATGTGCAGGTGCTCTTTAGTGAGCAATAGTAAAGTTTTTGCGTTTCATGCATAGTTGCAAAGTTCATAAAAATAACACGTTATATGTTTTTAATGTATAGTCTCTATGTAGAAAGGAACATAACAACAACAAAAAAGTATAAATTTCCTCAAACAGTTGGGATTTGCCAAAAACAAAATAACGGACAACTCTATGTTAAGGGGTATGTTGTTTCTCAGTTTCTCATTTGTGTTTTCCCTGCACTTGAAAAGTGAAGGCGTGTTTTTGATGCTAAGTTGCTGAACTTTTAAAGCAACCTCTGAATGAGGAAGCTTAGATAACAACAAGGTAGAAATATACAAACTAGTCGGAAGAGAAGCTTCCAGTGGTTCAGTTAAATACTGAAAGGGGAAAAGGTGTTTGGGGTGCTGAATTTCCTACACGAGGGTTATAGTTTCCCTAAAAGAACATTCATAGATACGTGGCTTCCATAAAGAATTCTGGGCCCTAAATCAGAAGTGGTTTTGGCTCAGATACCAAAGATCTGGAGAGTTTGGGGGAAAAAAAAAAGATTTTATATTGTGATACTTAGTTTTGACTCTTCTGTAAAAATTGTTAATAATGACTTTTGTTAGTGGTCAACATATGAGGCGCTTTTTTTTTTTTTTTTTTGCCTTTTTCAGGTGCCTGATTCTCCCTGTTCATAAAGACACACACGGATGGGCAGAATGTTCACAGCAGTGCTACCAAAGTGTTAGAAACTTCCATAACTTTGCAGGTGTGCGTATGTGGAGCTGGAGTTTTCAGTTAGTTTAATTTAGTTCAGCCTCTAAGAGGCCATATCTTTTGACTGCTGCTGAGTTTCTACTATTCCACTTACCCTCAAATTTGGGAAAGAAAGAGTGCATCATTTTTGAAACATGTCTGACTCTTACTAAAGGGAATCTAGATGTTTAATCCTAGATTTTGCTTTTTTGCCTAGGTAGGTCACAAGAAATTTGAGAATTGAAACACTTATATATATATATTCTGACTATTTTCTGAGAAGAGTTTTTCTAATTTACTCACTTATGTCCACATTTCCTTGCTTCCCATTTTTATATGCTCAAGTTACTTTACAGGTTTAAATCAGTTGGACAAATACTGTATTCCAGGAAACAATTTTTGTCACCCAACAGTAGCAGTTCTAGGAGTTTCTTTTATTTCAGCAGCTGCTGTTTCAAGGATTACTATGTTTTTCTCTCTCATTAAGACTCTTACAGCAGTCCTACTTATTTCTGTGGAGTACTGCTACCAGTATGAATCGAAAGAGAGCAAATGATGTAGTATTCTAAGTGGTCCAGACCACTGGTCCCTACTTTATGGTTTTGGAAACTGTTAACAGTAAAGTTGAAAGAATTAACTGCAAAGTTTCTAGGACTATTACGTGAAGGGAAAAATGCTAGTTCATGTGGCAGAAAGCGTGGCGTGGCATCCAAGCTTTTGTCTGTGTTGCTGTTATTTGAAAACATGATTTGTTTTGTATCACTTCCTGCTTGCTATTGCTGTGTAGCTAATGTGATACATTGGGTATGAATCTTGTGCTTTTGAGCTTTTCAGAACATAGTGGAAACATTCATTTTTATTTCTTATATTAATTTCTGTTTTAAGTAGTTGCTTGTAGACTCGCTAGCTTAGTAAGGATAATGATTTCATGAGGAAGGAGGAGGTAAGCTTCGCTGAGAAGGAAATGTTTGAAGACTCTTGAATAGAGCAAGTATTATTTTATGTGTGGGGTGTGTGTGTGTGTGTGTATAAGCAAAATGCTCCAGGAATTTGATGGTTTCTTTTTTTCTTTTAATAAGTATTCTTCTTTTTGAAGTATTGACAAAATCATCTAGGTCTCTCTCTCCTCTCTCCGAAAAAATCCTTGTCGTTTGGCCTTTTCATAGAGATTTGAGTTATTTAGTTCCTTCAAGTGTTGATCATTTTTAATTCATATTTTTATAGGACCAGTTTACATTGAACTGTCATGGGATCAAGCAAATTTGTCATTAAGGTAAGAAGAATTTCATATCTTTCATTTAAAAGAAGTGCTGATAATCTCTAATACTGAGTAGAGGATGTGTGCATTGTTTTTTAAAAGTGAATGAAGAAAAGATGCATCCTTCAGACTTCTGGTCACAATAGCGTATTTTATTTCAGCTTTCCTTTCTCTTGGAAAGCAAACTCCTTCAAGTACTGCAGTATCACAGCAGAGTGAGCCTGGGATCCATCTTAGCTGAAGATTAAATTCACATGTGCCTAATGGTGATCAGTTGTATAGCTGGGATCAGAAACCTCATGAACTCTCAGTAAAACAGTATTAGCTTACCTGAATTAAAATCTGGCATTGATTCTTTTTTTACTGTAATTTTGTGATATTATTCACCTATTTGCCAGATAATCCCAAAGTTCCTGTTTTAAAGGGTAATAATATTTTTAAACTCTTTAACACTCCTGACTCTTCATTTGCATCTTAGTTTGCCTTTTTTCCTCCCTCATTTTCAGACATTATCCATCTTAAAGACAACTAATAAAATGCTTTTGCAGTTTATTTTACAGACAGTCTCTAACGCTTGGTTATATATCAGAAGAGTAGTGCTTTTTGAAATATTCTGTAATAAGCATTCTGCCTTAACTAGTTTGGCTCACTAGTAACTCAGGTACACAGAAGAAAAAAGCCTACTGACTGTCCAGGAAAAAACGTGCCACCTTCTCTTTGGTCAGTTTTTTCCTATTTCTCTTTTCTGTTAGGGGTAGTGCAATGCATGCATGTCTGAATATCTAGAGCAGTATGTTACTCTCGGAAATGGTTTTCCCAAGTATTTTCTTCACAGAAGAAACTGTTTTCTGTGTGGATTATCTTTTGCTTGTTTGCTTTTTTGGAGTCAGCTGCAAAAAGCTTTCTCAGCTGATCAAGTTGTGGAAGCTTGGTTTTATGGCTAACTAACCTGTTGAAAAAGCAGAGCAAGCAGTTGGTTCTCTGTGGTATGGAGTAAAATCTGGCTCTTTTGCAGGGAAGGCTACTCGCTTAGTGGGACATTTGCTCAAATCTATTTTTCTTATTCTTTAACTCAATCAAGAATTGTAAACCTTATATTGATGGTGACTGTTCACTGCTCCTGAACTGTTACAGAAGGAGTTAGAAAGGAAAAATTTCATTTTATGAATACTTCAGCTGAGATTCAGACTCTTTGTGCTCGTGCTGTATGGTAACAGGAGCTGAGAGTGGAACCATTACCTTTCTTAGCTGAGATCTCTTGGTATCATCAAAACGAATGCAAGTGCCAAAGCAAGCAAGTGGTATGCATTGAAATATTTTGCTAGATCAAAATGGCGTAAGATCTTTGATTACTGATCTACATTATGGTTAGTTTGCTAATCCAGCATAGGCACTTTATCTTCACCTAGTATGCACTCCTGCAACTGCTAAGTCGTTTGATATCATTATCTGAGCAAATGGATAGTTCTTCGTTGAACTTGTGTTTGTCACTAACCAATATCCTAGATAAAACCTTTGAGAATGCCAGTGAGCTATAACATTTTTATTTTCTTCCTTGTAGCATTTGAAAAAAACAAGGGAACATTTTTGTGTACATAGAATACTTTAAATAAGCTCATGTTGAGTTCACATATTTGTAATGTATTCTTATTCTGTAGTCAAGGGAAATATGTGAAAATGTAGTTGTTGGAATTTATTTGTACGGACAGATGCATAACACTTCTTCTGCAAAAAGCTCCCCATTAAAGAAGAGGAAATATTCTTACTCCTCCCTACAGGGGAAGGATAAAAGATACTATGTTCTTTTAGGTTCCTCACCTGTTTAAAATTGTTAAGGGTGTGTTGCTGTTTTGAAAATATTTTGTGCGTGTTCATTTTCTGCACTCTTCTTTTAAGTGTCCGTCTTTGGAATCATATAATTTTTATGGTTGGAAAGGAGTGTGTATTTATAAATTGAAAAAAAAAAACTAGGTATGTTAATCTTTTTAGTAAGACCCTGAAAGTACAGCTTATGCAACACCATCTTTCATGTGGTGAATTGAATGTAATTTAGGAGAAAAACATGTATAATATGTTGAATGACTTTGCTTCTTAACACCACATGTGTTTTGAAAACGTGTTCCTCCCATGTAGTGGTCAGTTATTTTCAGTAGAGGGAGTAGTTGGTCTACTTTTGAAAGGCAATTTAAGCATGGTTTTATGGACAATTAAGGGCAAATGAAATAAAGTAATTGATGCAATAAAATTGCTTTAAACCTTAATACAAAAGCTACAGTTAAGTCCTAAACACATTTTTCACTTTCAAGTGGCAGGGTTCTATGGTGTGCTTTATGTGCAATAGATGCTATTTTATACAAGTTAATTTGATCAATAATTTTCAATTTTAAATAATACTGATACTTCATAAAGGACTGTATGGTAAAATATCACCAAATCTGGAAAATCAGACATATGAATTTAATTATGTTTTTTTGTATATCAGTGTTGCTAAAACATTTTACTGCTGTTTTGAGAAATAAATCTTAACTTCAATCGGTAAAGCTTAAAGCAAAATTGTGAACAGTATACAGACTTCAAAAATAATATCACTAGGGCCTTGTTTAAAAATTTGGAAAAACTAGAAAGAAGAATTCTTCCAAAATTATGTAAACTGATCTTACCCATGCCAAACTACAGAACTAACTTTAGTAATTCTTATAGCTGTAATAGAAAAATTTCATTTGCTGTTTTCTTTTTTTCATTTGGCAAATGCTGGAGACTTTTGAATTGTTGCTGTACTTCAATAAATCTCAGCTCAAAGGAAAGCTTATTTTGCTCTGGTCTTTTTTACGTTCAGAAATCAAGAGCTCTCCTAACTTAAGACTTATAGGCCTTATATAGCACATATCTGAGATTAAGATAATTATAGTTTGAATGTTCCCTCTGGTCATTCAGAACAGTCTGTCATAGATTTTTAAATGTGCTCTTTGTTCATTATTTCATGCTGGGAGTGCATAAGAAACTCCCGGTCCTTCCCACTTTAATCTTTTTCTTACTTTAGATCACAAACTCCTTTGAAGCAGTCAATATCTCTATTTTTTTTTAATTGGGAGTAAAGATAGAAGTATTGGGTATGATTGGATAGCAAAATGACATTGTCACTGTAACATCCTCAGTTTTCACTGAAGTTCTTTATCCTTAATACACTTTGAAGATAACTATTAAGATACTGTTAAAATCTTTATAAGCAAGTGCATCTTAACATTTGTCTTTGCGTGTCTTACTGCTTTGTGAAAAGAACTATGCAAAGCATGTGAATTACAAGCACGAAGACTAGGTTGGAAAGGATGTGCTCCTGGGAGCCCGAGTGCTAGCAGGTACTTCTGTCCTCTTACAGGTTATCCCAGGGTGAGCCTTCCCACTGCTTGCAAGATACTGTTCTTACTGTTTGTTGGAAAGTAATACAAAAGCAATACAATGAAAATATGTTAACAATGAAATGTGTTGACATGGACTTGCATATCAGATGTGTCTGCTTTGGTGATTCTTAGATGGCATCGAAGTGAGCAAGGCAGATTAAAATCAGCTTTTCTGTAAAGCATGTCTATTGAATTAACTGATCAATATTTCTGTAAATATTTGCCCCTGTTAGGAAGTGAGGTGTTTGTTTCCTCCAGCAAATTGTTTGACTGGGATGGTGGCGAAGAGGGGGAAGATAAGTAAAGGTTTTAAAAACTACTTTATCGAACAGTAAATATATTTTACTGCTATAGATAGTCTGTAGGAATATGAATATGCTGTTCTAAAGTGGAGAATGAGACTTAGGAAAGCTTTCCCTGAGAAATGGTTATTTTTATTTGTGTTTAAAGTTAATTTTTTTATCTGTTGAGTGCTGAGTTACTAGACTACTATTATGGACTCCTTTACACAAAGTTTTGAACTGGTTAATATACTGTTTTCTTGTCTGAAAGCCAGGTTATTAAGACAGCTTAGTTGAAGTAGCTATCAGACAATATTTCTAATTTTTTTTTATGCTATTTTTTGTTGCAACACAATGTGTTTTAGCACACTATTTATGTTGCTGGAATACTGACAAAAGTTTCAATCAAAATGTGATAAGAATCCATTTTCTAAGGTAAGGTAGAATTTGTATAAAATATTTTGAAACTTAGGGCATCCAAATTCTCAGAATTGATTAAAATTTGTTGCATTTTGAACTTTTTAAAAAATACTGTATTATTCAAATAGTGATGGGCTTGTAGAGATGGAGTCATAACAATTATAAATGGAAGTGATGAAAATTTTTATGAAGTAGCAACATACACCAAGCTCCATGTTAATGTTCGTGTTAGTTTGTTTTAGTAGTTAATGCATAAATTTCGATTCTTCTCTAAAAGAGCTTAAAATCTTTTAAATAAATAAGGAGCTTTGGGAAATCTTTAACACAGGAGGTGGTAAGCAACAGTAAAAGATGGAGAGATATATATTTAGTTACTCTTCCTTTTGTTCCTTGTAACTATACATTTCAATTTTAGTTTATGGGACCAGAATTCGGATGATATGGAATGATTGAAGTGATAAGTAAGTAAGTTTCAGGAAAGAAAAAAATAATAAAAAGAGGAAGTTAGGGAACAGAGTGGGTAAGAAACCGAAGTGTATGGTCTAATTGTAAATGTCCTGGAATCAATAGAAGTTTTCTCCCTGACCTCAGAGGATTAATTTTCAAGCCTAGGGAAATGATGAGTGGATGAAGAACCGAGAGATTAAATGTTAGCAGAAGGGGAAAGGAATAGGAAGCCAGAGGGATAAACATCAACAGTGGAAACACTGCTTTCATGGGGATCCTTTCAAATAAGGAATAGAAGGATGACTCAGCTTGCATAAAATTTACTTGAAATATTAAGAAAAGTAATCTGACTAGTTTTAAAAGCAGATTTGTGCTAGAAAATGAGCATTTTATTAACTGTGAATACTGTGACAGTGGTATTAGGAGTCTAAATATATGCTTTACCAAATGATAGGTTTGTTTTTTTTTAAGGCATAAATGTGACACTTGCCATCTGCCTTATTTCTGCCAAGCACTGCCATATTTTACTTCTGTACCATTCCGCATCTCAGCGGTGTTGGTGGCACTGCCTGCATGACCCCTCTGTCCAGCAGCAAGGCAGGAGCGGATGAAAAGGAGACTGCAATCTCTCTCGGGCCAGCAAAGCATCAGAGATGCTGCATGGGGTCAGTGAATGTCTTTAGGTCCTGGGAAAGACTTCAGCTTGCACTGGAGGTGAAATTCTTTAATTCCCTCCAGTGAGTTTGGATGGGGGTTAGTAAGCTGAGAGATGAGGGATCCCCACCCGCTGTCCTCAGCAGTACCCCTAAATGCCATGTCCAGAAGGTTTAATGATGCAGTGATGCTTATTTTGCTCCTAGTGCTAAGGTTGTGAAAGCTGAATATAAAAACTTGTGCATTGTGTTTCACATGATCTCTCCCTGTCTTGTGCAGGGGATTTCAATATGTGGAAATTATTGAATGCTTGAGATGTGGGAATGTTTTCACCAAAGTGTGAAACAAAAGAGAGAAAAGAGGCTGACGGCGTGTTTTAATTTTCCGCCTTAGCTTGATCAAAGTAGTTCACTACTTCCTTAAAATAAGGCTATTTTAAAAAGCAAAATTATTACTTGGTTTCATTTCTCGAATAACAACTTGGTTTCTGGGCATTTTGTGTATGCTGCAGCACTTACCATTCAACAATGACTTTGCATTTTATCTTGACTCAATAACCAAACTTTTCCTTAACTAAGGGTACCACAGGAAATGCCATACCATGTATTTCGGTGTTTTGCTGCAGTCATTGTTAAGTGTGAGCTGTGGTGACGCTTGGCTATTGTGAAAACCCTTTAAACTGCTGATAAAATGATGACTCATGGTCACCTGATGAAAACAGATTCATTACCATGACTCCAGAAACTTTATATCCCCTATAAGTGTTTCACTTCCTACAGTAGTTTTTTCTATAAGCGATGATGATGCACTTATTTCTAACAGTTGACAGCTGCTCAATTAAGCCATGACAGTGCGATTGGCAAAGACCATAAAATATTTTTTTTTCTTCACAGTTGAATTAAGTTCTTATGATGGAGCTGACCCAAACCTCAGTGAACTGAATGGTTTTTTTGAAATGAATTTCTAAGTTTGTAGGAATATGTTGCTAGCATACAATAGCTTAACTAAACGCATGCTGATTTATTCCATTAATGGCCTTATTCAGTTTAATTCCTCTCTCCTTTGTTTAAACAAACCTGTCTGCCTATAGTGTCAAGGTGTAAAGAAGGCTGAAAAAATATTGGAAAGGATACTGCTATTAATAAATTAAAAGTCAACTTTAGTTTCAGTGTGAGAAGGGGATACTTGTGGAAGGAGAAAAAGGAGAGGGGAAATAAAACTTTGCCTCTAAATGATTACCCAGAGAGGAAAAGATGATTAAAGCAAAAACAACATTATTTAAAAAAAAAAATGCCCTGGATTTAGACCTTAATGCTGTTCATTTATGTGCTAAAAAGTAGAGAAAGATAAGACCATTGATGTTTGGGTGCTCAGCCTAACAGGAGTTAACAAGTAATTGAATGCAATATAGCCTATGTAACCATGTTTATTTTTCTGTGGTTTTAAGCTGGCTCATGTGGAACCAATCTGAATATATTTGTATCTATGGCACGGTTAATTCACTCTTAAACCATTAGGAGTTCCACCAGTGATTTTGCTGTACATTAGTTTCACTCTTGACTGCAAGTATTTCTAATTTTAAGTGCTATGAGGCCCACCATGCTAAAGAAAATTGTATAATTACTTTAGTGATTGCAAATGTGTATGACTAATACTTTTACTAAATTGTATAATGCTAGTATATGCATGGAACAAGTGTAGAAATATCAGAATAAAAGAAATATTCTTGTTTTTTTGCAAGAAAAGAAGAATTAATAAAACTCATGCTTTAAAAGTTAGTATAAAGTTTCTAACAATGATCTCTTAGTTAAAAGGCCATTGCCTGTTCATTTTTTAATATCTTCCATTTATTTTCCTGTTGACTTATTCCAAAATTAGGTGATGAATATGGTTTGTTTATTTTATGCTAAAAACAGTTACCCATGTAGTTTAGAAAAAAAGGGAAAAAAAAGGTCTGATCAGAATCAAATAACATCAGATATGAATAGAAACAAGATAAGATTTTTTTTAGATGCTGTAATATTGTTCATATAAACTGCGTCAAGAAATTACTTATGGAAATGTTAGTGCATGCTTTTTTCTCCAAATCCCTCTCCTGTGTGTATGTTTTTTAAAAAAAAATTTATTACCAAAAATGTGGAAATGAAGAGGCAAAAGTTGCAGATTTAATAATGAAATGCATTAATACATCAGAAGTACATTTGAAAACAAGCAAACAAGATATTTAACATGGGATGAAGTATCCTAATCCACAAAGAACTCTTGAACATAGATGATATGTTCTGTAAAGTTTGTATTATTGCCCATCTGTTATTGTATATTTTTCCCGTGTTCTGCTTCTTAACAGAACAGACTATCTGTTTCCTTTTGCTGTGGTGCGATATTGCTTGGGCAAATCAACAGAAAAAAATTCAGGTAGCCTTTAGATAACAAATGTAAATGGCTGTATAGGTTCATTTAGTTATACACTGAGATGGTAAATGAAGATAAGTCTTGCTTGCTCATCTTTGGTAAGCAGTGTGGTATGCAAAGGTGGTTTTACTTTTGCATATAAAACTGATTTATTTATTTCCATGCTTCATAAAATATTTTTGAAGCGTGTACAAAGTTAACTCTCTGTCCTCGCTACAAAGCACTTTATCTGTAGCTGTGAAATTTTCACTTGAGAGCTATACCAGGGAAGAGACCAGTTTGTCCTGTAGGTCACATGGAGACAATGTTGAACCAAAATCTTGAGTGGTTTGAGTGTTTTAATATTATCTTTTCCTATTGGCTGTTTAAACTTTGCTGGGGAAGTGGTGTGTTCATAAAGCTTTCAGCGTGTTTGCAACTTGTTAAGTCATCTCAGCTATTTCTGCTGTCGATATGTTCTTGTTCTGGGATGAAATCCTGAATCTGCAGGCTTGAGCAAAGCAAAGATTTTGTTCCCTTTTCTATGTAATTTGCAATGTACATGTGAAAGTGTTCAAGTGGAGAATTGCCGTGCACAAATTGTGTTGAATGTTTTTTGAAAAATACTTGCTACTCTTGAAGGAGCATGAGGAAGAGAGCAGAGATAAGGAAGAAGGGCCTAATGTCGCTGGTTCCCATACAAGAAGATGTAGTACAGGCTCAGAATGTTTTCTCAGTGTTTTCTCGTTATGGATGACTGAGGTTCTGTATCTGTGGTTCAAAAACCGTCCTCATTTCGCTTTAGAACCCTTGGCAATAATTAAATGCAAGCTCTGTCCTAAGTATAAGGCCCTCTTTGCAGGACCCTGCCTTGTCTCTAGGAGGAAGTAAGGTGTCTGGAGTATCTGACACCGCTCAGCTGCTTAAACAATAGTTTATATAAAATACAGTTAAATGCAGTCTTTTAAGTTCCAGCCAATATTCTGTTTTAAACTTGGAGAGTCGTCTTTGGTCATTGAATATACTAGTGATTTAACAGCAGTCGTAATTAACCAAATATACGTGATTGTGGTTTACTCTGCTTTCTGTCATCCTGATGAAAGCTGATAAGAGAGGCATATAGATCTGAACATAAAATATTTGCTGAACTAAAGAGTTGGGAAAGAGCTAAGTCTTGGGCCATTTAAGAGGATCTGTTCAATGCCAAGATCCTAGGATTTGACAGTTACCAGGTCATGTAGTGTATAAATTCTTTTATATAGAGATATATACACATACACACACACAAAAGTACAAAAAGAGAGTAAAATAAGTAGCACTTTCATAGTGCATTACTAGTGCACTTTGTAACTGCAGTAAGGTAATCTTCACTAATAGAAAACAAGAATATAAATGGTTATCCTTTTGGTATTGTCTGCAAGTCTCCAGTTTTATTTTGTGAGGTGTTCAACTGTCATGTAATGGTAATTTATGACTCGGAGAATTTAGGAGCAGTTTACATGGGAGGAGTAAATCTGATGAGTCAAAAGGTGAAAATGAGGCCCACGGACAAAATGAGGCCCCGTCAGACAAAAATATTCTCTCCCTTCAAATAAGTGTCTAGTTTACATATATTCAAACTGGCATGACATATGATTGGGAATTTATTTATCCCCAAACTATTTTCCATTATTGTAGTGGAGGCAGCTTATGGAAACACAGCGTTTGTAGAAGGACTGATCATTTGTTTTTTCACACAAACCTTATATTTTGCTTTTGTCCCTAAATTTATCAGGAGAATAGATCTTCTTTTATGGTTGTGATATGGTAAATGAGATGCACAGAAAGAAGTTTAGTACCTAAGAGAAACACTCATCCTACAACCAAATAGTTTAAGTCTACTTATTTGTCATGTTGTCCTAGTAACAGGAAAGATAAAAAGGATCCGTTCCTAGCCAGAGATAATTCTCTTGCAAAACCGAAGAAAACTTTTTTCAGCTGCAAATATATCATCACTCATTTCATATGTTGAATGAATTAAGTCTGTGTTGTTCTAGTTTGTGAAATGGGCAGTAACATTTAAAATTGCAACATTAACTTTCTTCTGTTATTAGGAACTGGGAAGCTGAAATTCAGTAGCTGTAGTAACTTCTTATTCCTGAGCTCTGTTATATGGTGTTTCTTGTAATGTAGACTGAACAGAAGTAGAGCAGTGCTTACTCTTCAGAGAGTACAGATCTTTCTAGAATAATTTAAACTGTCTCCTCCTGAGTATTTTTGTTCCATGTGAGAACTTATGTCCTTAATGCCAGACTGCATCTAATATACAGATTAATGACATAAAATTGCTGGAAATCACAATTTCAGCATGGGCAACACTATGGAATAAGAAGATAAATGCGTTCAGCTTGACCATCTGCTTTACAGTAATACCTCACCCCAAATCTTCTCTGCTGCTGATGGCTATCATCATATTAGTATGTGATTGTGAATTTTTTCTTGTTTTCTGTTTGGTTACCACACAGATTTTTCTGGTAAACCCTTAATCAGTAAAGGTGTCATGCTCACTTTCTCTGACTTGACCATCATTAAATTAGTTCAGTGAACATCAGAATTTTTTGGGTAGTTCCCTTGTCTCTTCAATAATACCTTGGACCTCTTCAAAAAATCAGTGTGCTACATAGCTAAATGTTATAATGGTAAGACGTTAATTCAAACATGTTCAACTATAATTTAAATTAGATGCTATTTATTATCTTACCATTGTGATGTAAAACTTTTTTTTTATTTGTTTGTTCCTTGACATCTAGCCCCATTGTGTGCTGCATAATCTCATTTATCGCATGAAAATTCCAGGCCTAGTTTTCCACAGTGTGAAAAGGCCTGTGTCAAAATTCTACTGTGCTCTCATCAGTGAGGGGCTCCTTTTGGTTTTGTTTTCATGTTTCTAGTAGCACTTCAGGCTATTACAAATCAGGCAGAACTAGGGGAAGGAAGAGTAAAATCAAAAGTGCGAGGGTTGTGCAGGCTCTGAAAGATCAGAGTCCTGTGGGGGAGCAACTCTGAAATAAGCTTCTCAAGTGGAATAAGTCACTTGTGTAACTGCTGTGACATTGCAAGGGCATATGCACATAAACTACAGGCTATAAGCATAAAGAAAG